ATGGTAAACGATAAGGCCTTTTTACGTTCACTAGTTTCGGCCAATGGCTTATCGCAATCTTGTTAGTTGTTGACGGTAGGCAGATTCGAATCGCTCGTTTCACACATTCTCATCATCACATCATCGGCGGTTGATAACAGACCGTTCCGTTCCAAGCCCGCCAAGAATATCGTATCATTTGACGTTAGTTTGAATTTTACCACAGATTATGGAAAACATTTTTTTTTTCTCCATTTGTACATTGTTGTCGTATATAGTCCACCTTTATGACACGTGATCCGCCACTTTCGGTCCTTTTTCGTTTTTTTAGGGTTTTGCAGATGGAAATACGATCGAACAAACTATTTTGCATCACTTCGTGTAACATCCAAACATCAATCCTTATATTGTGGCCATCACTCTTCAAATTGTTTAAATCTTAACGATATCCTGCCTATTTACACGTCTATATCACTCAACTTCCGCAAAATTCATTTCATTGCCTTTTTTCTATAATTGGTTGGTCGCCATGAGAAGCATCTTTTATATGGAAATTGCTAGAACGAACGCAATAGGACCATTTTTGTGCCGCTTGTCTGATCACGCATTTTAACCATAAACAGCACAATTTTTTATAGGCCTATACAGTATTTCTGCCCTTATTGCTATAAGGTTCTCACTTGGAGAAATCTCACCCATCTTTAGGATGCTTTGTCCGAATAAAAGCACTCCAAGGATAGTAAAACATGAACCAATACCACTGACAGCAACGCCGACCTGATGCAACTTATGTTATCTAGGATATGTGACTTGAAAGCCATTTAGCAAGAAAAATGATCAATATCTTTTCGAGAATCCTATATGATGCTATAAAGCAGAAACAATCGGAAAGAGGCCAAATAAGCAACCCGTCTAAAGAAATTATATATTTCGCCTTTCAGTGCTTGAAGCACAGTATCTAGCGAAGTAAGCTTTCTAACATTTTTCAGCTTTACAGATGTTTACAATGTGAATATGACATTCATAGAAACGGAAGAAAATATAAAAAGATTGCGATGCATACGCACGCGTTAGCTTTATTTATTGACATATGCTAATGAACAGTTCAACACCGTTCCAAGTAGTGTCGTAGGAAGTACGACGTTAATAGAAGGATCGTCACAAAAGAACCGTCCATCAACTCCCCTACGACTTTCTCTCGCGTTATTTTTCTCTTTTGTCTGCCATATACAATACTTATGTTACAACTAACGGTGAAACGCTATTCAATTGACACGGCGGTAAATTTCTGCATCTAAGGATTAAAATAATATAGGCCAAGATAGTAAATGATCATGGAGCATATTATCGAAACGCTAGCATTTGCCCATACTCGAAGTGGCTGATGATATTTCACTATCGTTCTCCAGTGCTAAGGGTCAATCGAGGCCAAAGATGTTAGGGTGAAGGGTACGGTTGTACACTATTAGCTATGTCTGGTAAATACACTTCGTGGCCTCTTTGCATCACCTAGGCCCAATATCGTATTTCTCGAAGGCAGAGAAGCTGCTTCTTGCTAGTTAACAACGAATTTATTCTTTGCGGACCATTGCTATTGTCCTTGTAAACACAGTCACGATAACTGACACTGCGTTAAAGCAGACGCCAAGTCCGAATAATCCGCCTCGCTTGTAATCAATTGAATGTCCTTTTGCAACTAGTCTATAGAGAACGCTATACTATTTTCAACCATCACTGCGTCCAAGATACACGGGTCGTAGAAAAGGGCGGCGGAAAAATGTTAAAAAAAAAAGTAATTTGAGGTGTAATACAAGCCTTGATTATTTATAGTAAATAAAGTTGCTTCATTCAAGCAACATGTACTCAGATTGATGACGGTGTGATCTCGGAGCTCCAATAGCGTATTTATAAAATATATGATTATATATTTGCCGTCAAATTTTGTTTATCCAGCGGCTCTTAATGAACAGATGTAAATATACGGTGGGCTCCTGAACGAATGTTTATGTATCTCTCCATTTACACTGAGGACCTTTTCTAACATCAAGTCAACGCGTTCCTAGAAATTATCAAACCTTTACATGTACTATTACACACACAAAAGGTTACGCAGCTACCGAGATTACTTAAGCTACTTATTGTTTGCATGCATGAATTGCAGTCGACCAATCCCTCAATTACGGTCGAATCGACCATACCGAGAAGCCCTTTCTAGATCTACAACTACTGAAATCCCAACAAAAAATGAAAGCTCTCGTTTTCGGGTCCGACGAGCGTACGAGGAACCCATGGGTTCACAGGCATCACCCTTTGCGCCTCCTGATACCGGCATAAGGCCTGCGCGACAACAAGAGCAACCACGCAAGTCGGAAAAGACGTCTCGTGCTGAAAGTGGACCGTTCAGACCGCCCGAGGGAGCTGCAGAGTTCCGGGAAGACGGGCGTGGTGGAGGCCGACATTACAAATACACCCAAAAGAAGACCCGCCGCGGCGGGTGGCAACCAGACAATCATCGTCATCATCATCATAGCTATCATGATGACGACGACCATGTGATTGGTGTAGAAGAGGAAGAGATCGAGGAAGACGACTATTTACATCAGCACCACGTCGATGAGTATAAAGCTCCGATTTTGAATCCCGCGCACGACGTAAGTGCTAGTATATTTGGCTAAAAATTAGCTTTATGTAAGACATTTTTTATGCTTAGACATTAAAAAAAATTGTTTGTTTAAGCATTTGTGTATATATGTATGTAAACAAATTAAGTCACGCAACCCTATTGCTTTAAAAAGTTTACAAATCTGATATGTCTTTTTAAACACGTGTTAAAAAGTATATATTTTCTGGAATCAGTAATTATATTCATCTGTTTACATCTTGCATCAATTTTTATATATAATCTTTATGCCGGATGGTAGAACTATCATAGGGTTAAGTGGCTTTCTGAGCATCCTAAATGATAGCCTCGTAATGTACAGACTTGCCTAAGAAAGAAAGGCACTTTCGTTAAAATATGCGTCTAGCCATATTGCAAGAATAAATTACTAATTTTTCATAATGAAAATTGATGACTAGATTAGGCAACCTGCAGCAGCCTTGCCGACTGTTAGAAGAATCCCGTTGTACTGTCATTTCATTGAATAAGGTAAACTACTATTATATATATATGATTTTTATTTCAACTTCTTTCACAGGGTCACATCAAAATCAAGAGTTACCGTCCACCTTCAGATCCTCACTGGAGTGAAAAGGAAGAGCAACGTCATGCCTGGGACGATGAGGCAAAACACCCCAGCGACGAAGAGTGGAAACAAGAGGCCCAGTACAAAATTAATGATGTGAAGCTGCGTCTCCCTCCAGTTAAGTTCCGATTCCACCTTGCGCCTAATGTGAAAATCATTTCCGGAAGTAAGGACCCGTTGGAGAGACCTCCACCACCTGAACCAGAGGAGCATTTTCCGTGGGAGAAACCTAAGGACCTTCCCGAGCTGCCGTGGTGGCCAGACACAGTTTGGCCGGAAAAAAAAAATTGCACAGCCGAAGATTCGAAGGACAGTAGAGAATGCAAGGAGATCAATGACAAGGAGAGAAAGAGCGGTAGACTCACCCAGAAAAATAGCAACAATAAGGAAAATAAGCGAAACAGTCGCGGCAAGGTCGATAAAAGAAAAGGCAGTTCTTCTAATCGCAGCTCTGTTAGTAAAAAAATAAGCAGCACAACTTCTCGATCACAAAGTAGCTCAAATGATAAGTCGAGGAGTTCAGCGAGCTCGAGTAGCATCAGTAGGAAGCGTCGCGTTACGCGGCGAACTGGCGAGACGGCCGCCAGCACCAGGGTGCAACACCGAATCAAAATGAAACCACGTCGAAATGGTGTCAGACGATCGCGGCAGGGTTGGGATTCAGAAGCATACTATCATCTGCCACCATCACCTTGGTTAGCGCCAAAATCGATTTGGAGTGATGAAATCTACATCGAAGGAGATGATGACGAAGTCGAGATTGACGGTTCAAAAAACGGGCATAGGGGTTCCGATGCTGAGGGAGATGCCACGAATGGCACGGGTTGGGACTCCCACATAAACTGGCAAGACTCTCCCATCCATTTTGCCGCGCATAAACGCCGCTGGCCACCTGACACGCCCCGATACTCGCCCATGTTCAAGGTGAAAGTTAAGCCGCGAATCTGGACCGAGGCACCACCGTCTACAACGACCACAACCACGGAAGCAACGACGATAACGGACGATGATGAAACAGCGAATATCGACGACGAAGAACCCAGTGAAAGTGACGAGGGCACAACGACGGAAGAACCTATAACCATTGCAACTACCGAAGACATCAGAACGGAAGTTGTGACAACGACCGAAAGCAATGCCATAACGTCAGTCTCCACTCGGAATCCATTTCGTTTTCGAGAGCCAACAACCAATGAGAAGGGACAGTTTGGTACAACAACATCCGCGTCTAAAGAGATGACAACAACAGAGATGCCGAGGTCAACAACAACAGAAACGCCGAGGTCAACAACAACAGAAACGCCGAGGTCAACAATAACAGAAACGCCGAGGTCAACATCAACAACAACAGAAATGCCGAGGTCAACAACAACAGAAACGCCAAGGTCAACATTAACAACAACAGAAATGCCGAGGTCAATATCAACAACAACAGAAATGCCGAGGTCAACATTAACAACAACAGAAATGCCGAGGTCAACAACAACAACAACAGAAATGCCGAGGTCAACATTAACAACAACAGAAATGCCGAGGTCAACATCAACAACAACAGAAACGCCAGGTCAACATTAACAACAACAGAAATGCCGAGGTCAACATTAACAACAACAGAAATGCCGAGGTCAACATCAACAACAACAGAAATGCCGAGGTCAACATCAACAACAACAGAAACGCCGAGGTCAACATCAACAACAACAGAAACGCCGAGGTCAACATCAACAACAACAAAGATGCCGAGGTCAACATCAACAACAACAAAGATGCCGATGTCAACATCAACAACAACAAAGATGCCGAGGTCAACATCAACAACAACAAAGATGCCGAGGTCAACATCAACAAAAATGCCGAGGTCAACATCAACAGAAATGCGGAGGTCAACATCAACAGAAATGTCGAGGTCAACATCAACAACAGGAATGCCAAGGTCAACATCAACAACAACAAAAACAACTGAAAGGACGTCAACCGCAGTAGCTGAAACTACCACGAAGATGACAGCCATTTTAGAGGAACAGACGACAACAATCAAAACAACAACTACAACTAAAAAAATGATTACACGTCAGAAGACGACCGTTGTACCGTCAACCACTCCAACCACTACCGCAAGTAAGTCAACCGAATCTACGACGACGACGACGATGCTCTTATCGATTCGGTTATAGATAATGGCATGACTCGAACAATGGAGCAAAAAAACAATACTGATGCACAATCGACTATCGTCAGTACCACACTTCACCATCAGATCAAGCGCCTGCGAGTGGTCATCTTGCCATAACCATTAGCACACTAGAAACAGACGAAATGGACGCCACGACCCTGGCTACTGAATAAACAACATTCTCTAGCACGTTGCAAGATCCAGCCATACCAATGACGATTCCGATTGCTCGTAGGGGTTAACTGAAGCGAGAAATTATCACTAACTGTGATTTTAGCTTTAATTTAATAATTTAAAACCAAACGGATACTGCAACAGCTAGAGTAATAGAGACGCGTTACAGGCAGCCATAGAATTGACAAAAAAAAAAGCCAGATAAAAATTTCATTGCCCGAACTTTAATATCATTGTGTACCCTCTACTCCGAACTCAATGTTTATTGCGTCGAGGTCTGATAAATCAAAAAGCCCTACTTGTCCAATAATTATCGGCCAACCTATACTAAATGGAAGTAGACGAGTAAGCATGGCGATAAAAAGCAAATCGATGGATGGTTATGTCAATGACAATTATGATGTCAGTGATCATGATAAGAATGAAAGCGTGTAGCGCACAAAGACTTCCAAATTTCAAATTTTCAATCCTTCAACTTATTCCTCTGATGGTTGCCCCGTAATCTACGTCTGTTGCAGCAATGGCGCATGCATTTTTCCCTATCGCTTATACAATCTATACTGACAAACCTGCAAGTGCACCTATTTTTATAACCGTCTGCACGCAATCAGTTCCCATTAGTTTAAGCACTCCCCCCCCCCCCCCCCCCCGACTAGGTGACTGTGATGGTAAAAACCGGAACCTTCGTTTCAGAAGTGACCACCAAATCGTCCAGCAGTACTGGCGGATCGAAAGCACGCCGGCCAGGCTCGCGGATACCGAAGGTGTTTGACGACGCGTCAGGTAACCAGGACAACGGCAATCCCGAGGAGAACGCGATCAACGTGTTCGGTAGCACAGGGTCAGCGTCGGTAACGCCGGCCACAACGACACTGAGCGGTACAACGACGAGCTGGCTGTTCGGCCTGATGAACACGACAAGCGAATTTAGTTCGTCTGGAAGTGGGTCATATCTTGAGCGCGAGGACCCTCCAATAGGGAATTCTGTCAACAACAGGAAAAATCATCTTAAACCGCGCCGACGGCTAGGTTCCCTCAGCCCAGTCAAAATCGACGTGTCGAGCCCTGAGGAATTAGCAGGAGTAGCTGTTAATGCTAAGGTCCTGCACTTGTTCCTTGGTGGGCCAAATTCGACTTCACTACATGACTCCGTGGTAACGGTAGCTAAAGCTGTTAATCAGTACAACAACTATTATCGAAAACGTAAAAGGTAATGGGTAATTAAATTGGCTTTTAATAATAAAATTATTAACGAACAATACATACGTATATCGAAGAGCTTATGACGAGATTTATCAAGCAAAAAAAAGTCGCAGGAATAGCGCTAGCCTTGTACGTACACGCGTAGTATTACATATATTACGGAAAAGCCGCATGACGATCACGCGGTGGCATCGGCGGCTAGGCCTCTGGTTGAAAGTGAGCAAGTTTGGGCGTAATTATGTTTCCTCTTATTTCTTGGAACGGGTGCGGTATAGAGGTACCTTATCACGCCGTGCACCAAGAGACGATATGGCAGGACCATATATGGCGCACATTGTTACATTCTCTCTAAAACAGTTGAAGTTGAACAACCCTCGCCAACCGTTGTAATGCGCAGTGATGAAATAAGCAAAGTTTACTGTTCGATGGAAGTTATAATATGTAGCGGATGAATGAAATTAATAGCAAAAATGGTTATTTGTCTGACATGTGAAACTTTTGTGACTTGACGTTATGTTCTAGATGCAGCTTGCATTTTGTTGTTGTTAATGTGTGCATCTGTAGATCGGTTCTGCATGTTATATGAAGTATACACGTGTTAATAAAAAAACATGCTATTATGGTTTGCAATCCGGTTTACTTATTCTTAGATGTAAGCAAATCCTAGACAGAAAAAGATCGTTGCAATGAAACTAGAAGTGGGGATTATAAACTGAACATTCGAGGTAATTCTATAGAAGACGATTTCGAAACAGATACTGTTCAATATGACATCGGCCTAGAAACCTTTTTAGCCGTAATTTCTTGAAAGCTGTAGATGCAAGAATCCGCTATTAGTTTTTTCGCCAGGGCATTAAGTGTGTGCCTGAGGACACTTGAGGTATACTACCAATCGAAAACTGGCCTATTGGCACCTTACAACAACCAGTCGATTCTTGGATCGTAATAAAAAAGTTTTACAGTAAGCCACAAAAATTCTAATTATATATCCATTCTGTATGTGTTTTCGTGCATGTAGTACACAATAAGAAACGCACAGAGCTGTTGACATCATAAATAATAATTTATATAGATTTATTACCTTTATTGGCTTCAAATCCAACTTACATGTCCATTCCATACTAGTTCTGTTTTATATCTTATCATAGTCAATATCAATTCTGCCATTATTACCATAATCATTATTACGGTTACTAAATGTTAAAAAAAAAAATGCCAAAATCTAGAAATGGCGCAAACCCTGTTCTGAGCGGTCTCAGATCTTTCTCTTTTATTCTATCTCCCTCCGAGCTTATTCTTTTGCAGGACCGACACTAGTGCCTGCAATACGGGCCAAAAACTTATCGTTATATATATATATATATATATATATATATATATATATAGAAACATAATAATAGAGGATGACCATATTGAACGTACCTAGAAAACTATTTACAACAATAAGAATGTTTAGCAATATATTATCAGTAAATGAATAAAAATATAAATCCGTGAAATGTCGTATGGTTTACTATTGTTCAGCAATGGCTGCTTTCAAGATCAGGATCCTTCCGTCTATTTCTGTACTCGTTAGCTGTAAGGCTTCATTGCAGTTCTGTTTAAGTATGTATTATTTGACACAGTGTAAAAGTTCGATACCCTTGTCTCGTACGTGTAGCAAGTATTATATGTATGTATGTATGTATGTATAATATAGATTTGTACAATTTCAGAAATCCAACAATCCGAGTTTATTAAATCGCGCCGATTATTCAGGTCGATTTTATTCATAGAAAAGTGTGTATTTATTACAATGTGCCATATCCATTGCATAGGTATATCAATATGTATGTTTTAGACATTTAAACTAAACTAGCGCGATGATAGACAACAACTATCCTTACGATCGAATTGTATGCCTATAGTCATCTTTTTCTGTTTCCGTAATGTAAGCTCGGTAAAAGCCAACGGATTGCCGGGACAAAGGAAACTAAAGGTAGATCGAATCTAGGGACAGATCGAATGCCTGAGATTTGAGCATATTGTTAGCGCACCATGATTTCAGAGTACTTTCGTTAGCGACTATATTTTATCTTATTCGTATTTACTTTAGTACACTATAAGAAGATAAAATTTCTCCTCAGCGAATCAGTCAGCTTTTGACGTCTCCATCATCCAACGACGCCATCTCATATTTTCAGTGCATTTTATAGGGATAATATATAATGGGCACAAGCGTTAGTCTATCACGAGATGCGAACATCAAATCTCGTATGGGTCAGTTATCAATTATTTGAAATCGTGCCAAAAGAAACCTTGCCCAGAACTTTAAAACCGCGTTTAAAAAACAATAGTGTATTTCCCGAGCATTGTACTAGACAACATAGGTAAAATGTCGTTACTTTCTTTTATTATCGCTCCCAAGACTGGCAAATTTATTTTTTCCAAAGTTCATCTCTGTACTTTAAGCAACATTATTTAACGCGTTTGACAGACTTGGATCTAGCCTCCTGTCACCTTGAGCATACGAAGTCAATCATGTCCATTATATAGTATCCCCATCCTTACAAAAAAAAATGCCGTATATTATGCCCCTTATTCTCTCAGGCTCATCCATCATCTTTTGTCATTTCTCTCTATCTCCAAAACTACAACAAACATACAAAATAAACATTAGCATGATACATTAAGGGAGACAATGACTATGCGGTTAGATAATTTGGCCCCTAACAAATCGCTAATAGTACAAATCCTAATGAAACCTTAGCTTAGGTAGCTGGTCTAAGTCGCTACGTTTACTTGAATTTCCTAGGTGACGCGTCGAATGAATTCCATGCAACGTATTCAGTCACTCATTATTTACAATAAGACATTTTGTTCCGCTCTGATCGTGAACGTTTTTTCGCCGGGTCAGAGATCGAAAGCCTAACGAACATCACCGAACTCGACATCTCAATGTCCACTTGCCACTCCTGTGCATTTTACAGTTACGCGAGTCACTCGCCCCACACACATAATGATTCTCACTTATTAGATCAGACCCATTTTCACTTCTTTGTGTGCCGTTCGAAAAGGGACGCCGTTTAGCAAATTTTTTAGGGATTCGGCTCCTTCTCAGGTTTGAGTTTCAATCTGATTTGTTCTTAAATGTGACTATTTAACATGCAGACATCGTGAGTAAGTAACTGATACCGAACAATTATGCCGAATATTTCAAGCGATATTAGATTAAACGTTTGCGCTCTCCAACAACTTCACCCTTCGTCTAAAAGGCTAGAATACGAACGGTTGGCTGAGGTATCCTTCCTGCTCAAACGATAGCTTCAAGGTTCGGCACATTCGATCGTTTTTCTACATTCTCACCTATTCCAGTTGTTCATGAGATTTGGATCATTTCCGTTCTTCTTCAATCTGCAGAATTAAACGTTCACGATGATGTACGTCTACGAACTTTTTAGATAATATCTAATCCCTCACCTTCAAATTCATCACACGGCGTGATTCATTCGTCTACGATATTGTAAAAAAATATTGAGCTGCGGCGCGATTTCTCGACATAGGCCTTCAGACACTTCCTCTAGCCTTCAGCATTCTCTGAATTATGTACATACAAAATTAATCACCATTTGCGTAGATGGCTGTGAAAGGATAACTTTTTTAGAGCATTCGTTGCTTTACGTCGTGTTACGTGAATTTTGTGAGTTTTGCCCAGTTCAGTCGACCTGGGTGGATGGGGGGGGGGGGGGGTAAGGCGCCCCACGTGTCCCTACACGTTTCTAATTGTGTTTCGTTCAATAGCAGTTATCTTCTGATCTGTTATTTGAGATGGCTCTTATAAGAATCCGAATTACATCAATTGAGCAACGCGCACAAATACATTATTGCTGGTTTATGTTACTCACCTCCCTCAACTCCATTTCTGATTATTCTCGACATTTCTAGATCTTTACTTGCTTCACTCTTTCGTGGCCTTATCCCTCTCAATATATCACTCATACCGAAATCACACTTCGATCGCTAGCTCCGATCTCGATTTTAACCCATTTCCTCACTGAGTCCATGTCGTTCCGTAATATTCGAAACGTGTGTCTGTCGTCAAATGGTATACATGATATTTTACCGGAATTACGGTTTGTCCATGACCGTTTAGAAACACTGTTATCGTCAACAGTCGTTAAAAGGATGATGTGGCATGTTCGTTTGGAAGTGACACACTGACAACAATTTTTGCCTGAGTTATCAGTTGATACGGAAGCACAGTTTTAGCGATCACTTTCAATCGTATTGTTTTTCTAGTTAGCGGCAGGCAGACGTTTTCGAAATGATCTAGTTAGATATGTTTAAGCGGTTCACTGCTAAGAAATATCGAGGCCAAGTTTAAATTAAGATAACAATAGTTGAAACACTAGCTCTGTTATACGAGACCTGTCGTTACTTTGACACTTTGTATTTTTCGTTGCAATTTAATTTGATTTCTGCTTGAAAGCGACCGCTAAACTCTCTTTCCTATATCTGTTAGATCCGTAGCAAGCTTCACCATCGTTATCAACAACAAGTGTTCGATTTAAAAATTCATGAAATAATAATATAAATATATATATATATATATATATCAGGGTCATTCTCTTTAAAAATAAGCTTTTCCACAATTTCAACCAGTGAACGTATATGTAATTTAATAATTATTATAGTCAACTCGAACGTAAAGTATATATATATACAAAATTGCACAGGTGAAAAGCCCTGTTCTTATTGTTATGGCCATTCTCACCTCGTCTTGTTTCGCATCGCTATTTGCAAGCCATCTATGACTAACTCGAACGGGGAGGCTCAAAAAAGCACTTGAAGCAGGTTCTATAACCAGAATACTAGATTAGCACACAAATATGAACAGAAACACTAAGCAGACCATTTAGCTCGACATTTTAAAAATCAATCGTTGCATTTTGTGTTTTGCTTCCAAGGGCTTGGTTGCTATTGTTGTAAGCATGAAACCTTATGGTATAAGATTTTAGCAGGGAGCCTCGTTATAGGAAAACTTTTTAGTGGTAAAGTCTCAAAGGTCCCATAAAGGTGGAGTAGTTTCCCAGCTTGTAACAGATGACGAAGGTAGGAATTAAGATACGATTTGACGACGAATAGTAAACAATAACGCTGCTACCTTGGAGATTGCTTGCCGGTGGCGCCCGGGGGTGATCGTGGAACTAGAACAGGACTTTGCGTTAGGGCAGCCAGAGGAAAGTGCGTCGTCATTTGATGGAAAAGCGTCGAAGGATCAACAGGATGGTCGGGCACCTGCAATGGACCAGCGCCTGAAAGTGAGCTCAGTAGTCCGACGGTTAGCGCAGGATGCACCAGATTCGCCGGTCCCGGCGATGGAGATGTGCTATTGTTCTTGCTGTGATACCGTCGCATATGTGTATTTAGGTTGCCTGAAAGGAGAAAAAAACAAGAACGAAACACTAGCTGTCATTTTTTGCCTATGTTATATATATATATATATATATATATATATATATATCTATATAGCTTGCGTTAGTCCAAAACCGTGTATAGCTATGTAGATGGTGGAATGATAGGGCGTCCTACACAAACTATTTCTGCACAAATCTGAATTATTAAAAGCACTTTTAAAATGCTAAATGTTAAAAATTACACAAATTACATTGACGGAAAGCTTTATCTCGGGTCTAATTTAATAAGTATAAAGTATTTCCTATGCGTCTCCAAAACGTATGTCTTACATATCTGAAGCTATTTAGTAACAGTTTTATCCATTTATATATATATATATATGCATAATGGAATCAAATAATATCGTATTGTAAGGTAGACCTGCATCGCAGTTTGGTTTAACATTTATTGAAGTTTGTTTCTACTAGTCAGTGAAAGCTACCAAACAATTCACGTTCGACCAACGAAGCCGATCATCAAAATATAGTTCTATATTTTTTGAGAGTTAGTAATAGTTGAAATCGAAATCTCGATGATGGTTCCTCATCTCACGAGAGAAAAATGGTCACTTAATTGGCTGTGTTTCATAAAATAAAATCGATAATAAAGGACTATTATTGTAGCCACCTTAAAGTGAGCAACTCTTGCTTATCTTGAAGCGTAATTGCAGGCGACAATGGGATCTGATTAAAGATTACTTCGATGTAGCACAATTTCAAGCCGTTTACTCTGATACATTCTGTTCGTTTTTCTCATCTAGCGTTACCTAGCTGGCAGTGACCAGCAAGTTTTAACGTAATAGCTATTATTGCATGATATCGGCAAAAATTCACTCATATATTCAAACGTACCTTTCTGCGCCGTGGCAAAATCGCAGAATTGACAGGCATATGGCCTCTCGCCAGTGTGAACTCGCTGGTGGCGTTTCAAGTCTCCAACCCAAGCGGTCTGGAAGTTGCACTCACGGCACGCGTAAGGCTTTTCCCCTGTATGTCGCATTCGATGCAATCTGGAACACACACATGGCTCAGATGGTGGCAAAAAATGAACCCCGCGACATGTACATACAAATGTTGATTGCTAATATAAGGTTTATATAGTGGATCATGCAAATGGTACTACGACGATTGTTCAGTACCACATGATTCATCAATAGATATGGTAATAATAATTGCAATAACTGTAATATGTATGCAGGTATCTGCTGTAATGCGGCTCTTTTAGATACCGGCAGGTAATATGTAATTACTACTAACCTAAGGTGACTTGGCCAGCTGCTCGTATAATCACAGTGGTCACAGCTGTACTTCTTCTCGCCATCAGCTGTCATTGTAGTATTCGTCGTTGGCGTTACGTCAGTGGGCGTAGGCGTCGCTGAGGGCGTCGACGAGGCCGAGCCGCCATTGCTGCTGTTGCTACCGCATGATAACGATGACCCGCTAGATCCTCCACCAGCATCTCCTCCACAAGCGCCCCCGGTAGATCCAGCAACCGATTGCTGATGCTCGCGTTGTTGCTTAAGAGCCACGTTCAGGTGGTTGCCTGTCGACAGGTCCATAGCACGAGATACTGGGGCGCTATTGCTCCCACCCAAACTGCTACCACCTGATGTCAGGAAGTGACTAGGAAGACTCACCGGCGGGGTGGCGCACGCCGGAATCGGATGCGGTGAAAGTGCCGTCGGAGTTGTACCCGACGTCAGGATGGGGGTAGGATGCGCCGTAGGTAACCCACTGGTATTGGCTGTCAACGAACTCAGCCACGAAAGCGAAAAACTCCTGCGCACGTTTTTTATAGCGGCTGCCGTAGCCACTACAGATGACCTACTGCTGATCAGGTTATTTCCGATACTAGTTTCTGTAATTTTGAGCAGAGAAAAGAGAGCAAGAAGCTTCAAAATTCAGTAAAAGAATCCGTTACGAGGTGTAATGTAGCAGTATCGAAAACACGTGCACGAAAGGTGAGAGATCGCTAGCAAAGTTCGGGCGCAGAGGAAGTGGGTGCTAAATTGATAGGGACAGTAGAAATTTTATCGTGTTCCGACTCAATACTATACACAATCTGATACCAGTGTATTTCTAAGCTTCTTATATCGGACTGTATCGTAGCGATGAGCGGTAAATTGATATTGGGTATCCCTTATGCGATTTACAGAACCATACAGAAGATTTAAGAGTTAATATACATTGAAAACTATGGGCACACACTATATAAGAGGCATTTTTATTATTCAGTAATATTGTAGGTCGATTTTGAAATGTTGCAATTAGAAGGTAGCTGAAGTCCGTATACATCATACCACAATGGTAAAACACTTTTATAATCCGACTACGTGTTTCTATATGACCGAATAGTTAACAAAAATGCTTTCACGAGCTACCGTTAGGCATAGCCATATAGTTCGGTGTACATATATATAGTAAAAAGTATGGATTACAGCAGATAAATTCAAAGCTTGAGGATAAACTTATTTAAATCGTGGTCTACTGAAGATTAGCCTTCAGTAATTTCGATGTATGGTATAAAAGTATCCTCTTGTTTCTTTTTTACAGTCTGCAATAGAACAGATTGAGCGTTTTCAGGTCTTCAACAGTTTCAGCGTAATCCAACATCTCTTAATAACAAATTAAATCTAAATCCTGTCGAGTGGCACACGTGTCATTATTATATGGCGTTCCCTACGACGTTTCCTGCAGATCTATCGAATCACGTCCAATGAGTAAGCGAATGGTACTTAACAGATTGGCTCAGAAATCATTTTTCCTTAACTCTATGATTGTTTTCAATTAGTCCAATGCTATTTGGAATAACTCTATCAATCGGAAAAATCATCAATTGCAGTAGGAAAAACAAGCCGATTTTTCACTCTTCAGTTTGTTTTATACCACACAATTCATTTTTACAGTAAAGTCAGTCGACACTTGACACTGCTATAATCATCATCTATCAACTTTATCTTTGCGGTACTCTATTTGACTGAGGAAGACAGCATCGCTATAAACTTCGAAGTGGTCAGAGCCAGGCCAGACTGCCTGTCAAACACGCTAGGTTGACTCGTTGGCGATAGTAGTAGCGTATTTTCCGTCTTCCAAAACTACGCGTCCTTTGAGCAGTAGCAGAAGTTGAAACAGCAAAATCGCAGCCAAAGTAACATTCTAGACAAACCAGCCGACGTCGAACCCGAAGCAAAGCCGTTTCGAGACAGCGCGGCATCTGAAATGAATAAGACTATCCGTCAACGACGTCAGACTGTTCACTTCGTTTAACTCGATCTCTCTCCCTCCCTCCCTTCTGTCTCTGCGCATTTTGATACAATCCCAGTGATACACAATATAACAGACGCGATGAGTAGTAGCAGCGTCGCCGGTATCACGAGCCACGTTGTCATCGTGACATTCTGTTTGCCGATGGTGATGTTTCCAGCCGTCGAACGGTCTTCCGACGTCAGAAGTGACGAACTCCGAACGAACGTCGGGTCGATGGTCACAACTGGGTGAATGCGTCCGTTCTACGTGGATGCTTGTATGTCTATGTACATGAGTGTGCTTATCTTTAATGTATATACATATATACCTATAGAGATATAGAGCACGTTGACCCATTAAAATGTCTTCATTGCTCGCTATACGCATATCTGTGTCTCTTTAATTGGTGATTGTACTGTTCATTAAATCTTTTCGTGTTCTATTATAAGAAAGAGTTTTTCCGTCCTTGCAGCCCCCGCGCGAACTGGACACAAAGCGCAATTAAACCACTAAGTTATTTTATGGTCAAAAGGTATCAATCGCTGCGATAATAAGCAGCAGGTGATGACAGAATTGGTAGCGTTTCCGGTTTTGAAATTGATTCGTCTACTCTATGTTTCTGGTAGCATTGAAAGGAGACAATTCAATAAATAACACTTTCACACTTTTGTCCTTCTATTACGGTAGCTATAATAACAAGCAAACGCGCCAACGGATGGCATATTATGAGTTTCGTATGTATCGTGCAAGGAGCGTAGGTGAAGGGAAGCTAGGTAGGCATGGTGAAACGACGAGATTGAACGAAAAAAATTATACTATTCGAGACCGTTACAATACGATACTGTCTGCTACTGCCGATAAGTTCTGATTGGTCCGAAAATGATACGCCATCGAAAACGAGTCTCCGTTCTGTACTTGCGATAGCTTCCTGGAAGGTCAATACAAGCACAAAGAGAAAAATGGTACATTATTGAATGCCCTCGCTACGTTTGTTCGGTTTCACTTTTTTTAAACCAACTCTCATTAACAGTCCACAGGTCGATCAAGGCACAGAGTACATGCAATACGTCGTCTCACTTTAGTCAATAAAAGCTTGTAATATTTTGCGCATCGAATGGCAACTGCAGGCTCTAGATTCTACTTTGTAGCAACGTTTATCCTTGTAAACATCAAATCATTCCTTCTGCAGCTTTCGTATGAAGAGCACAGATCTTCGGGCAGCAATCTCGAAGAAGCCAGCGTAGCATGCAGCCTCTGTTCCATTCAATACTTGCGGTCCGCTTTAAGACTATCGTTACCGCGTGGGCTGCTGCCAATCAAGCAGGACTTGTTGTTGCGGTGTAACGCTCCAGCCACCGTAAACCGCAAATAGGACATGGTAAGGAAGGACGAGTTTCTTTTCCTGATTGCTGTAGACTTTTGTCGAAGCCAACGGTTTCAGCGGTGTCCACAGAAATAGTGACAACGATAGTGGTAACGCTTTCTCGACTATTCCCGTTGTCGTCGTCACCAGTTGAGCTTGGCCGAGCGGCTTTTGCGCATGCATCGGAGTACGGGAGTCGGCTTGGCTCAATCGAATCCGTACGGCTGTTTCTGCTGTTGTCTGGCGCGTTAGATTATCAAAAAGTGACCTTCTTATAGCGTGAGGTGGTTGTACCTGGAGAAACGGCGCATCGTATGATTGATCGATCGCTTCGTTTGTTCCCTTACATGCTGAATGCTTTTCCTTCATTAGTCCAGTCTGACTGCCAAGTGCAATACGAAGGCGGCAGGCACAAATCAAGCTGCTACGCGGCAGCAACTGAAAGGAGAGCATACTTAAACAAAACAAAAGAGACAATTGGTAATTAGAAAATTTCAATAGAACTATTCGATTAATGTTTTTTTTCTAGATTTGTGCTACGCGTACACCTCACTTCATTCGTTCAATTTTCGCCTTCCTCCATCGCGCCTATTGTACCTGCGTCTCCTTAAAATAATAAATATAAATAATCGGCGACATGTGTTGCCTATTGTTCAGAAAACGTCTTCCAATAGACTTATCATTTAGTCCCAATGATTGTCCTTAGTTAATCGCCATCTGTACAAACTCAAAGGACGTATATATATATATATATATCCTTTGAGTTTATGTAAATAGCGGAAAAGTATTTTCTAAATTATCGGCAACACATGTTTGAACAGCTGCCATTTTATCTTCGAATTCCGGCAAACTGCGACAGATATCATTTCTGCTAATGGTTTCTCTACGCATTACAGAATAATAAATAACTTGCTTGGAAAAGCAACGCCCAGTATTATCCAAATTTGATCGAGTTACTTCACGAAAAAAAGCATGTTAAGAATAGCAAAATAATAAATTAAAGTTAGTTATTACAGCTGTTATTTATGTTACAAGCGTGAGGCTTGATGGGCGCCGGTAAAGCTTGACATATTTTGCTTTTTGCTCGTTAAACTGCTCATATGGGTAGCAATAATTATTATTATGATGATAATATTATTAACGGACAGTAGTGCCGTTTTTGTTGGCCAGTGTTTAATAGGAAATGCTCGGCGTGCTCAAGGAAAACCTCAATTAGAACTATGATCTATAGTACTATTTTCATGATAAGAATCAGCGCCGATACAGAGTTTGTTCGCAGTAGGTCGCAATTCATTCTGGAAAAATGTAATGTTTTAGCAGAACACGAATTCGGTTACTTTGTATTATAGTTATCGCTATATACGCGTTCACTGCGAACTGATGCGCAGTAAACGTACGTTTCTAGTTCAAATGGCTAGCAGCTTCAGAAACTCGTTAAAGTTAGCTAGGTATAAAAGGATTTCCTTGATGTATTTATAGTATAACACTCTAAGAGGAAATGCATTACGTCGGCTGACCAATAGGATGTCAAGCAGATATTGAATTTTTTCCCATTTTCCCATTAAAACACATGCGTAAAAAGAATAGGAAGCGTCACTGGTGACTTCATCAAGAGTCTATTTTGCCGCAACTAAATTATCAAATATGCCGACTTGCAACTGATCCAGCGGTTTGTTTAAATCAATGATAGATGATCCTCAAAAAGCAAGGAATAATGTTACAACATTTTCTTTTGCCGAGCCTCAAATATCGCTTAATTGTCTTATTTATTAGGAGTGAAGTCACCCTATGCTATTGTGATTATCAGACTATCGTTTAACGACAAGCAACGACAGGTTACATTCAAAAGGGGAAACCGACGCTTTTTGTAAAGGAAAAAAGTTTGACGTTAACTAACTTGTTGGCTTTCTGTGGGTTTCATGGCAACTTTCTTGTATTCGTGGCCTTGTTTTGGTCCTTCAATAAATCGCAGAGGCCTCCCAAGAGCAACTTACTTTGGCAGACTGAATGGTCAATTGCATTTAGAATTCATAGCGTTTGTCCGTAGCAGTAAACTATTAAGTACTCGTGTTGTTATAAAACGGGCGCTTCCATTCGACAACCCAATAACCAGCAGCGTACTTTTCAACACAGTCTCCACCGTACATACGAGCTAGAAACGCTAGAAAAACGCCCACAGTTAATTGAAAACAGCACATTTTATTCAACTCTGAGTTCTGAAGCTAACATTTCAACTTTTCTCAACTAAAATTAATTAATTATTTCCAAATATGCTGTGTGTTCATATTGAGTATGACATTCTCTGACTTCTGGCCGACACCGAATTCTGTAACTCTCAATAAATTTCATCATTACATGAAACTAGCAAAAGCTCATATGAGTGTTAATATATTATTCTCCGTAACGATCAGCCATAATGACAACGTACTTGGCCTTCAGGTACCGGCAGCGGAAGACAGCGGACCAAGTTCTAATATGGCGATGTTAGTAGCAGAAATTGGTCGAAAGTTAATTTTCCCGAATCGTTGACTACATATAAATAGATTCTCCCGTACAATTATAGCACAAAACAGACGGGCAGGCAGTTCCAGCGCCCACTTGTAACTTTCTACCTGACCTACGCCACAGGGGGTTCTATGTGTCAGCATTATTTTAACTAATACCAATTCAGAAGTTAGAAAAAGTCATAAGACATACCAGTTTTTCCTTTATCAGGCAGCAAACTCTGCTTTGTGCGTGACCCATCTACATATTTCTGCCGCGTGTTTTTTTTTTTTGTATATAGTTCTTTGATCAAATATATGTTTCGAGTTTTACGTCCGGAACTGCGCTGCCGTAGCATTAGAGCGCACTATTTTTGTTGTTTTTACGATAACACTCACAGCTGATAGACGGTAGCTGAGCGAACGATAGTTGGTACGCGGTGCTTGACAGAAAAGGGGGCCCTGATCGCAACGTACTAACCTCATAGATATTTGATTTCTTATTCGGATAAATTGTTTTGCTTATTGTGATTTTCATCTGCTGTTTTTAAACGTTATGGCGAGGTTACTGGTTGAAATCTGCCGCAATATCTGACGATGCGATAGCACAGATCCTGACGCCCAGCTAATAAGCGTTCCGTCATGTGCATCGCGATATTCGACAGAATTTTTCGAGTAGCTTCATAAATTTATCCTTATCCTTACGGTGGCTAATAAAGGCACACCTCTAATCATCAATGATAATGAAACAATATTAGTCAACAAAATCGATAATCGTCTCGTACGCATGCCTTCAAAGCCTATATCTAATTTTTTAATTTATAAACCCCTATACATTTTTTTTTTTTTTTCGCTTACAACATTTTTCAGATTTGCTTATATCTGATAAAGAAGCAGACATGACGTAGAACGCTTCAACGACAACTTATATCCTTAACCATATAACGTAATCATACGACTCTATTTATAGTTGTCTCACAACACGGAGCGATAGCATGACTACGGCAAGATAATCTAATCGTTAAGTTAACATCGGGCACATACAAACTTACCGTCTTTATATATTTGCATATTTTTTTTTACTCTATCAATATAAGTCAGCCTTTGCACGGCATTGGGCGCATGCCGCTGACAGAAACATGAACATCACAGATGAAATGATGTAAATATTTTATCCTAGCCTACTAATCCTATTTAAAATACCATCCATAGTGGTTTAGTCATCAGGACGTTTGAGAAAAGGGAACGTCCTTCAGCGTTTCAGAGGTGGCACTTGCTGTAAATTTCAGTATGCCCATCGGCGTCTTTTACTGTAAATACCCCAGGCGCACATCTCCACAAGGCCAATACATTACGGCGGCGTTTGATAAAAACTCGTAGTCAGCTATTAGCGTAGACTTTCAGCTATGGGAGCGTTTAATGGAAGTGGATCTCAAAATCTGATCGTTTTGTGGTACTCTGTATTTGTCTTAGATTTAATAGTAAATACTTTGATCGTAGGAGAAAAATGAATGAATACTCAACGCAACTGTAAGGCATGCATAAAAAAGGTGCAACAAATTATTATTTCCAGATTTATTCCAGATACAAAATGATTCATTTCTAGCATTCGCGCTTCTGGGACCGATATTTATATGGGTAGAAACGGCATAGGTACAGGAACGACGTTCTCGCGCGGCTGGTGCTTGTTCGATGGTTTAAAACTTCAGTAACCACTCGATATCAGAAGCAATGATCGCATCATTTGCGCTGTCGATTCATGTTAAACATCCGAAGATTACCATTTTGAAAAAGCACCTCCCAGCGATATCGTTCCGGTTCCAACTAGGCAAGCAACTGGGTTTCATGCAAAAGTGACCTTTAACTATGATAAAAGATCGGGTACTGCTATTAAAACAAGCATGTACCCAATTCAGCCGCCAGCAGCTCTTCGATATATCATCCTAACTACTCGGGCTTTAGGCCCAGCTGCGCAGAGAAGCGGTCGGCCCACCTAGACTCCCTTAACGAAGGATTAGATCAGAAACGTAAATGCATTTGTAATGCTTGGCGCATGCAGACATGTCACGAAGACATGGCGTGGATTGCCACTTAGTTTAAGTCTACCATATCATAGAGTCCGCCAGTGATGTCGAAGCGAGACCAGAGGATCGTGTTGCGTCACCAGTATCGACCGCACCCAAATATAAATCGATGAATTCTCTTCCCCATCCGGGTATATACGGATGTATAGCACTGACATATCAATATTTACCACGTCGTCTTAGTGCCAGGTAAATTCGACAGACTACACGTTACAGCATATGAAAATATTTGATAAAATATTCATACATATCAAAGCGTTATTTATTCGCCCTTTTGCTTTCCTCTAACTTGTGTCGAAAACAGCTTATGACAAGCTGTCTATTCCTTGTAGATTTCTTTAACAAAATATTCACGATGCCGCACGTACCCTACGGGAGCCCGTGGAGTCATTTGCCTGGAACATCACAAGAGTATAAAAACATTAGTTATTTATGTTAAAAGATGCAAAAAATAATACGAGCCAGCAATTATTACGAATGTAAGCACTAATTAGCCTTAAAAACAAATGTTTTCTGACAAGTGTTCCACTTATTTTAAGGTTCAGCTAGAATAGTTCGCGTCCCGTACGCTCATTCTCTTCAGAACAATGACCCGTCAAATTTATGATATATGAAACAAATTCAGTTTCTCATATATTATAGATTGTAATTTCTTTCAGAATTTTTCGTCTCAAAGGAAATAGATCTTTCTCTTCTACACTATTTTGTTAGTAGAGACGGAAATTGCCGATGACGACCAATGTCCATCAAAATGGTTCTATTCTTTCTGCTAACTGATTACCACTTGTGTTCGAACTTGCTAAAGACACCACTTTGATTCAAGAAAGGGCATGGTTTACATATCTAATTGACTAAACGTGCTGTACACGTAAGAAAACTTTTGATCAGAAACAGGTCTTTGCTCTCGTGGCAGGGATATGCTTTTATATTAGCCATTGTTAATGAACTATTATCCTCTCTAGATGGATATCAGTCTTGCTTAAGCCTGGCCCCTATAAACCCAATAGCCTGAAATAGGTGCGATAATATTTTAAGATCCTTCCAAAAGTTTGTGTTCGATTCGCTCAAAAGTCATTGTTGTAGCTCGCAGTATATAGGAATTCAATATGGATGCAGACTATAGCCGTAAAAAGTTTTCTCAATACCTAAAAATACCCATACAGAGGCCTTACCTTAGAGGCCTTAAATGTGTTAGTTTTCAATTCGTCTGCCGTCGAGTGAATTAAACTATATTCGATTAATTTGTTTGTTTAAAAATACACATATTAAAAAAACAACCTATATAGCTTTAGCTCAACTTCTATTGCTAAAGTAGTAAGCTTCACAGATGTGTTGGGTAGACGCGCGTTACTAGATTTGGTTGGATTTTTGACGAAATAGGGCATAGAGAACGAAAGACAGCTCAAATACAAAGCCTCATAAAAGAATCGCATTAGGAAAAGTTCAAAGACGTATTAGTATGATTACTAAAGTTAACAACATTACTTGAGAGCGAAACCTGTTATTGTTGTTTTTGTCATCGCTGAAAGTTTGACCGAAACATAATCGTTGTAGTAATAAGTAAGTTCGTGACGCTGCCCAGCTGGTGCCATACGGCAATTTACTGAGGGACTGTTTGTAAATTATAAATTCTCTTTAGGCCATATCTGTTGGTTAGATACAAATGACAAAAAACTGACATTCGTAAAATTAATAATATTTAAGAGTTAATCAAATAGAATAATAGAAGGGGCTCGAGAGCTCAGTTGTGTTTTTATACGTTCTAGTGGTACAAACGTATTTCATTTCTACACGAATTAAGAGACAATCGTCGCTTTCCATGTCAATTTGGAACACCGTTACGTGTCCATCTATATATATATATATATATATACTATACGTAATGTGTCATAGACATAAACAGTATTCTACAGTTTAATTGCTTTCTTGCGACCAGTAATTCAGGACGTCTGAGTTTAAGCAACAGACTGACGTTAAAGAGCTCGCACATTACCGGTAATATAACGGACCTAAAACAACCCTAAATCCAAAAACAAGTAGACGGTTAAGTCATACTAAGCTCTATGAGGTACCATCTACCTTATTTACTTTATGTTGCAGCTTTATTTGTGTTTCTAGAAAGACAACTTTGTCTGTTCCCTTGCACTTTGTTCCAAGACCTCTTCCCCATCAGCCGATCTCAGCGCTGAACCTTATTAGCCATCACTATACAACTACTGCGGATTGACGACCAACAACGGTTGCTATGTGACACTTCGGAGCATGGCAAGGTCATATTGTAGTTACTGCATCCGTACGTACGCGATCAATGGACGAAATCACTAGTAGTTACTATTCTTAGAGGCGATTCTGGCTGAAACAGACAGCTATGGTCAAATGGATTTCACACGTCTTTCGTGCTTTATATCCAGTACTTAGGAAGTCAAGCATTACTCCAAACCATTGTTCCGAGCAAGATACGAAGTGTGTCTTCTCCTAAATTCAAATTTGACCGCTACGTGTTATTAAGTTTAGCGGACAAATAGCGGACCCGCTGCGCTACCAGGGGGACTAAACGTATGCCATATAACTAGAGAACACCGTTTCATTGGACAAGCAGAAAGAGTGACTGCAACTGTCTTCCATACACCTGACGCCTTTTTGAAAAATACCGTTAAAACACTCGTGCAAAGAAGACCCTTCCATAAGCAGCTCTCAGCTGCCCCTTTTTAAACACAGCATTGATATTGCCGTTTAGCATCGCTTCAGGAATCCGTCAAGGTAGGAGGCAGAATGCAAGCAACATGGAAAGACTGAGCAAAGGAAAGCATTATGAGTGCACACATCGCCTTTTCTATTGCTGCCTGCATTTGTACAGGAGGACCGAGCTGTGTCTAAGACCAGAGTCGACGCAGGACCAGCTTTGTGTCACTTCGCCTCGTAGGCAAATATGTTGCCATTACACTAGTGCGAGAACGAAACGCTACTACTCGATCCGACATCGTTCAGCATCCATCCAGGAGCTCGTTGCATCTCAGAACATGGCACGGCTTAAACTACGATGCGAAGAGCTACCGTCGCCTTACAATCAGTGACTGCTTCTGCAGCTGTCGACTTGTGCGACTGTTGCCGGTTACCAGTGAGTCGTTACGATCGTGGGGCTCGAAACGGGACAAAGACATAAAAGCTACACCCTAAATGAGAAAACGTCGAAAATTGCGGTTGCCGAAGAGAGGAATGCCGAATACATGCGCATACGTGACATCAGTGAACGTCGCTTAGCTGCCTGCCACAACGTCAAAGCAGCTAAACAAAGCTGACCCCGCTGAGGAGAGTTTAGAAGGACTAGGACAACGGATATCTCTGATCGGCCAGCGCCACTATACAAATGGGCATGTGTATCAACGGGCGCGTATAACATGGCGCTAGGAACAACCGGTAAGCAGTATGGCGCTTACAACTGGGCGCATAACCCATTTGAAATGTGGCATATCATTTAAGTAACCTTCTTTGAAATAAACTTGTGTGTTTACTTGTATGTGCAACTTCAAATGTGCCGACAAATTAAAACCAGTCAAGGAAGTGTGAATAGAAAACTTCTGAATTCCGAATCCTCTCTAGATCAGTGTTCTAGTGCCTTTGCGGTAGGGACGAATGAAGCTATTCAATATCTAGCAAAAGCAGCTCGCACGCTCATCCTTTATCCGCTGGGGTCAAGATTTACCCAGTCAAGCTACGAAACGATTGCTTTCGTCCCTGTACTGTCGAATTTTTCACCCGCGCTAAATAGCGGTTTCTTTCCAGCTCCCTTGTTTGATTGGCCGGTGTGAAACTATCCCCAAACTCGTGTCATGGATCGGTTTATCAGCCACGGCTACATATATTTATGGCAATGACGAAGGGACAATGGATAATTTGTTTGAGTATGGAAAGTTTCGTTACGTGCCGACAATTACGATCGAGGCTTTATTTGTCATGTGTCTATTACAGTGTTTAACTAACACTTTCGCTATATGTATGTACATACATGACCGATATGGCTTTCCACTAACTGACCATCAGTCAATGTCGCTGGTCATCCATTACGGTAATGTCTGTCAGATGAAGAGTATAATGTGTCTCCATGCGCAGGTATGGCCGGCCTAAATATCTGCGAACACGTACATCCTATCAACTCGAATCGAGCATCCTAACGATTTAGCTGAAAGCAAGCAGGTTACACATTCGAATCGCCGAAGCGACGTCTATCATTTTGCCACTAAATAATGTTAGCAAACAAAAAAAAATTTCGATAAACAAGCTAGAATATATTTCTCGACTGCCACTGGCCATCTTCTAAATTTGACTATCATATTTCTACAAAAATTAGCGTGATTCGGCAAGAGCCACTGAGTCATTGGGGGAGTGATCCGCTGTGATACACGATATAATCACACAGTCAAATTGTGCAGAGTAAGTTTCTCAGTGAACCTGCGATGAGAACCGCATATTCACTGTTGTTCCTCTGCTATTTTCATCTGACGATACGGAGAAATGTCTGCTTTGGTACACGCATAGAACCCGTTAGTATCTAAGCTGCTTCTGAAGTATCTATCTACATCTGGAGTTGACTTTATCTGCACGTTATTGAAATATAGTTACGTTCTTTCACAAGGTCAAAGTGTTGATAATGACTTCAGTATGCGTCAGACTGTCTGCTAACTGCAATCTGTACGTTAGTCCACCTGCAGTAGCTGTGGTAAGTAAAGGAGCGGGTCCAGCGACCGCCGCAGTGGCAGCGTTTCAATTGCGTACGCAGCGTCAACAGCGAGTTCAAAGTGCCGGCGCCGATTCAACAATGATTTTCTGACAGCGGTCAATAGATTGCCGAAAGCGTGCTACATAGAAGTTAGCAATTTTCTAAACGGATGTTTCATGTCTGGAGAGGCGACGCAGATAATCATAGGATAACCGCTGCTGCTCACAGAGCCGCCTTCAACGCCGACGCTACGGAAGCTACCGCAACTGAGAGCACGAAAGCACTGAACACTGCAGGGAAAATCGGGGTCCCGAAGCAGGCAGAGAAGTTAGAAAGGCTAAACAAAAGAGGCGAGCGAGAGAGAGAGATAAAACACTTGTCACAGTTTTGCGAAGCCTCTTGAAATCTTGCCAGTTAGTCGAAATAGGTGGCATAGACCAACAAAATCTGGGCAGCAAAAAATCATCACTCAGTCACGTCAATGACGCTGGCGATGATAATCATAGAGATGCTTCAGGTCTCAAACTTCAATTACAGACTATCGGAATGTTTTCCAGAGCGGCGAACGTAACACCTACCACTTTCTATTAGTTAAAAAATTTAATCACAGAAAATCTTTTGTATTATTCAATCCAAATCCTCGTCGATAATATTTTAATAAGGTGATTTTTATAAGTA